GAAAAAAATATACGCGAAACCGGCGGTTTAAAACCGGACCAAACCGTTAGGTTTAGGTTTGAGTTTTTTTCAAACCGGTCAAAACGGTTTGGTTTAGGTTTGAGCTTTTCTCAAACCGGTCAAAACGGTTTGGTTTGAAAATTTGTCAAAAACCGCAAAAATCGGACCGCTTACACCCCTAAATGAACCTGCACGTTTAGCTCTACACTTAAACTTTGTATTAAAACTTCTTCGTTCAACCAATATACAAATTGCAGGAATTTTGATAGACAACCTAACTAATTCATTAGACAAGGTTGAACTTAACATGTAGTCAATCCCGCCACCGAATTTCAGCATTGGCTGATGAAATAATGCAAAGTTTCCTTTGGTTAGTGCTTAAAATAAAAAATAAATGAAAGTCAATCTATAGCTTTTAACTTTTTCTCAATATTATAAAAAGCGTCCGCGCCTGAACCGGCAGCAGCTGCGTTCAAGTCATGAAGGCAGCAAATGCTGCCCATCGTCACCGGGAGTCCATCCTGTTCCCTCCGTCTTGTGGAGGCTGGGCTGCCGACGGAGAAGGAGGACAGTGGAGAAGAGAGAGAGAAAAGAGAAGGATGAGGAAAATTGAAATGAAATTGATTAGTGTTTGTGGTGAAAATTGTACAATTAATATTTAATATTTAAAATAAAATATCTGATAAAGTGAAACCTTTAATCTGATTTTTAAAATTGAATCTTTGAAATTCTGGTTTTATGTAATGGGGAACTTACACAAATACTCTTTTTTTTAGGGTCATTTTGAAAAATCATGATAAACATGTATTAAAAAGCAATACCTGTAAATTTAAACCAATAAACCGTAGAGATTACGATAATTTCAAAATGAAGAATCACTTCCAGCAGCTCCAAAATTCCAACTCCTCCAAGTTCCAAATCAAGCAAAATCTAAGACCAGACAAGATTAAGAATTGTTTCAACTACATCTTCTTTAAAGTTTAATTCACCAACTCTATAAATAATCAATCCAAATCTCCATGTTTATATTAGTTCTGATTTTTGATTCACTGTGTTCTTATTTTGGTTGATTTTGATGTTGTTTAGGTTTTTATGTTCAATATGTTGAGATTTACAGTTTGTTTGATTTTTTATTCAATATGTTCAATCTAATAGGTACACGGTTTGTAAAAATCAGCCTTCAATCTCAAAAAATCAAAGGTGTTTGAAATTAACATCTAAAGCACGACGGGTATTTTAGTGTGATTGGAAGCATGTTTGAAAATAACATGGTTGAACTTGAGAGAAAATTGATTGTGTTAATATATATGAAAAGTTAGCTTTGAATCCATTAAAATTTTGCATGCAAAGTGTTTGACAAAAAGAGAATGTGAAAAGGAGATAGTCTGTCACTTTTCTATGAAAAAGTGATGTTCTGTCACCTTTTATTGCAACAATTAACTAGATGCATATGTGTGCGTTTTTAGAAATTTGAACATTCGAAATCAAACATTGTTTATGTATACACATGAAAATTTAGCTTTAAATTAATTAAATTGATGCATGTAAGGTGTTTGCTCAAAAGTAGAATGTGAAAAAGTAACATTCCGTCACTTTTCTTAAAAAAAAAATAAAAAAAATCAAAGTATTTCACGAGCAATTGATTAGATACATGTGTGTGCATTTTTGAAAATTTAAATAAATGAATCCAAACCTTGTTTTATATTAATACATATGAAAAATTAAATTTGAATCAATTCAATAGATGCATAAAAGTTGTTTGTGAAAAGAATGTAAAAAAGTGACATTCCGTCACTTTTTTTCTAAAAAAGTCAAAATATCTTATTGGAACAATTAATTAGATACATATGTTTGTATTTTTTGAAATTTAAATAAACGAATTCAAACGTTGTTTTATGTTTACACATATGCAAAATTAACTTTGAATCAATTCAGTAGATGTAAGCAAAGTGGTTGCGAAAAGGAGAATGTGAAAAAATGGCATTTTGTTACTTTTCTATGAAAAAATTATATTCTGCCACTTTTTTCTTTTAAAAAAAGTGGCAATATCTCATTGGAGCAATAACTAGATGCATATGTGTGCATTTTTGGAAATTTAATATATGAATTCAAACCTTATTTTTTATTAATACATATTAAAATTAATTTTGAATCAATTCAATAGATGTATGTAAGGTGTTTGTGCAAATGAAAATGTGAAAAAGTGACATTCATCTCATCAAAACAATTAACTAGATGAATACATGTGTGTTTTGGAAAATTTAAATATATTATTGAAATCTTGTTTTAATTTTACATTCAATTCATATTTATTTGAATCAATTCAATTGATGCATCCAATGTGTTGCGAAAATGAGTGTAAAAAGTGATATTCTGTCACTTTTCTATGAAAAAGTCACAGTATCTTATTGAAACAATTAACTAGATACATACATGTATATTTTTTTAAATTAAAATATAGGAATTCAAACATTGTTTTAATCTTGCATTCAATTCATATTTTTTTGAATCAATTCAATTTATGCATCCAAGGTATTTGCGAAAATGAAAATGTGAAATAGTGACATTCTAAAAGAGTTGACACTCTGAAAAGAGTGACATTCCCTGAAAAGGTCGCATTATCTCAGTGGAATAGTTAACTTGATGCATACGTGTGTTTTTTAAAATTTAAATATACGAATTCAAACGTTGTTTGGACCAATTCATATTTCTTTGAACCAATTCAATTGATGCATCCAAGGTTTTTGCGAAAATGAGATTGTGAAAAGTGAAAAAGTGACCGAATTAGATATTTTTCTTTTAATTTCTGTTTTGGTGTTACAAGTTTTGGCCTATTTATGGCTATTTTACTTGCTCATCGAGTGAGGTTTTTGTTTTTGTTTCGAAGTATTCATGACAAACGTTGAAATACGTCTTTTGAATTTAAAAATCGATAAACAATGAGTTCATAATAACAAGTCAAAAATGTCGCAAGAAATGAAGTTAATAATTACGGTTTATTTTGCGTTCAATAATTCATTCAAAATAATTTTCGACATTTAAACTTCGTTCATAACATATTTTTCATGTTCACATTGCAAGTTTTCTAACAAATTTTAAATCGCTTAAAATAGATAATCGTAACAGAAAATACCGTATCAAACGAAAACTTTTAAATAATAAAAAATTTAAAAAGTGAAAAATATCAGATGGGAAGTGCGGCATGTATTTGGAATGACTCTGCTGAATTTCAAATGTTTTATATTTTTAGTGGACGTAATTATTAACACTTTAATTTAATTTAAGTGTATTAATCAATTTTTTCTTCTTTTTAAATTACTGTGTATAATTTCCTCTGATGTAATTTCCTCTTTCTAATTTTTTGAGCCCCTCAAACATTGAGGCCCAAGGCAGGGCCGGCCCTAGATTTTATATTTGAAATCGTTGCAATTATTGATTTGGATAAATATATCCATCTAAGGTTGGCAATGTTTCTCGACTCTCCAAAATTAAAATCTTGCCCATTGCACTCCCAAAGAACATTTCCTGCATTCCAGAAAACGATGGAGTTACACTATCCTTTTTAAAATGTTTTCCTCCTTTAAACATCATGCACACAGACACGCACACACAATCACATATTTAAAAGCACGTGGAGAAGTTTACGTCGGATCTCAATATTTAACTGAAATTTTACTATCACGTGATGTGTCATACATAGCATAAGATAAGCTCAGCGCTTAGTAGCTAGTACATCATTTTTCATGTTTCTCAGATTTCACCTTCGTGAATTTCCATTTTCTTTTGTTTTTCCCAGGAGGTGCAGGGAAATGACTGTATCATTAGTACTAAAAATACCATGTCCCTGAAAACAAGACACACAAATTCTTAACACAAGAGGCTTAACCTCGGATTAAACAAATTAGGACTTGTGTCTGGTGGGTGCATGAATTTGCAATTGGGACATGCAGGAGAAGACTTGTACATCATCACCAACATGTAACATTTCTCGCATACTGCAGTTACCATTTCCTGTTGTTCCCCTTCACATGTTAACCATGAAGGCGAGCGGGTAAGGCCCGACCCGGGCCCGACATCATCACCTGATGAATTCTGCTTTATCATAAAATTATTGTCTTGTTCTTGGATATTGTTTTTCTTTTCCAGTGATCCGCAGGGCAAATTGAGTTCAAGATCTAAGCTCATAGGAGATGGATTTGCTGGCTCTGGATTTAGTGTAGTTCTTGGATCACTTAAAGTCCTCTTTTGAGTCCTTGTGTTGTAGAAATATAGTTCTCCTGACTGCATTCAAAAGAGCACATACTTATTGATTAAGCTAAAGGGTTGCAGTCATTCAAAAGTTGCTTCCTATGTATACGAGATAAAGAAAGGAGTACTCAAATTCTGAAAAATCCTAGAACTCTACATATTGTAGAAGCACCGTTAGACTTTGATTAACATAATTTAAGATGTTGACTTGATGAATGCTAGAAAGTTGATACGCAGTATATGATACCTTTATATCGAGGCAGCGTTGCCACTCTAAAGGCAATGGCGTCTCACGTTGTACGTAAGCATCGAGTAGCGACTTCACGGTTGTGACTTTCTCTGGCTTCTCGGAGATTTTATCTTCGGGATCATCCCACTTCCTCTTCTTCGATGAGTTTTCTGACTCTTGAAACATTTTTCTGCTCATCATGGTATGTCGTATGGAGATCAATTCAAAGACGACAAACCCTTCTCTCTATACATGTCTAACTCTAGAGTGAGAGAGTGAACTATTAGAATAGTGATCAAAAGGTTTGGGATGGATATATATAGGGAAATTTGGAAACTTTTATTGTGAAACTGATAATCAAAGTGCCATCTTTGTGTACGTATGTGACGTGCTCTTCAAGTGAAGAAGTTGGGCTTGCAATTACTATATAGCTCCAAGCTGCTTAAATTCTAGCTAACCAACTCTCTTTGGTCAATGTGCACATCCATGCACCACACGACACACCTGATCTTGATTGCAAACCTAATTTATCCATTACATGTGCTCCAACTTGATGGCTTAATGTGTAACAATGGTTGGTTAATTTCTTGCTCCATACTGTCTCTAAATCCATACGTTTTAATTGGTATGCTAGACTTAACAGTTCTAAACAAAATGTTCGAATGACAAATTTTGATCTATAAGCCTTCTTAGGCTTTTCTAAGTGATGACATAACGGATCGAAACTTTCCCTCTTGAGTTCTTGAGAAGGGTATCTTGATATTAGAGTTAAATTAATAATAACGAATTTAAAGAGTTTAAGTATCTTTTCTTGAGTTTTTATGTGAATATCAAGTTGTTTCCCGCCAATAGTGTGATATTATATGTTTCTAAATCAACATCTTTTATTTTTTAATCATGTCATATCAAACATGTCACTAATGCAGTAATATTCGACTTGACTCACTAAAAAGACATTCTCAATGAAAGAATTCAAAAATGTAGTGCACCATGATCCAACCTAGTTTAGGATTAACCCAAATTACTAAACCCATACTAAGATTTCTTGAAATTTGTAGGGCGGTGGTGTGCCTTTAAAAGGGTGGGAAGTTGGAATTGTCATTAAATTGCAGTGTCTGTAAACAGTTGAAGAAGGTGTGTTTAATGGACATTCATAACTCAACTTTCACAATTGGGTCACCCAAAAAACCAATAACTTTAAAAGCTTTCAACACACTCACGTCTATTAAATTAAACCACTCCGTCCCATGATCTATGAATATATAGAAACTCATCTACTCAACTATAAAAAAACTTTATATTAAATACAACCAGATTTTCATGAGCTATAAATGTGTATGTCTCTATCACCCACCCCCCCCCCCCCGGGATAGGGTGGGGGTGAGGGGCTGTCTTGTTGTTTGCAAATATACCAAATCTTGTACTAAATTTTAGTACTCATCAGTTTGAATATTTACATGTTTGGGATTTGCAGACACCCTCACAATAAGTTGATGATACAATATAAAATATAATATTGAATAATGCTGTTTTGCCACATGATTTAACACCTTGGATGACAAATTAAGTGTGTGGCAAAAAATGATGGATTAAACTACTTACACACACAAAGTGTACACCTTGATTGACACCTCCTTATGTGTCAAAAATCTAACAATTGATTGGAAAACGTGTTGTTAAAATTAATGTGCCGAAATCTGTCAACTTATATGGATGTAAGCTATTGTGTCAACTTTTATGTACATGTAATATGGTCCAAAAATGATTGCATGGAAGTGTTGATTATTTTTTAAACAATCAAATGACAGATTCAAGGTGTTAAATCATTTGGCAGCCAAGCAAAACTGTATCATCTTTGCACTTTGCTTGTTCTAAACCCTAGTGCCAATACATGGATGTTGACATAAAATGATAGGTAGTTGACCTCAAAATTACCAAAAAAAACCTCATATTGTTGTAGGAAAAGTTAGTAGAATTAGGGGAAATCATCTTCGTGGACGAAATAATCAAGGAATATTCAAAAACATATTTACAAAAGCTTGGTATAGGAATCCATAAAAAACGATCCAATTATTTGAGATACATTACGAGGATTGTATCCATACAATTTTGCACTTCCCGACAAATATAAATTGTTTTGTTATTCTAAGCAGTTATTATATTTTTGGTAATGAAGAACTTGTTATCATATAGTTGCTTTCCTACATATTGGATTTTGTTGGATAAATAAACCTTGGCTGGAAGATAAAATAAAAACATTATAATTTATAAGGTAACAATGAACATTAAAAAAGTGATGAAGTTTTAGAAAAGTTGTTTTTCACTATATGCAAGCACAAAAAAAATATGAATCGTTTATTATATATATTTTTTTCACAATTTTACTAGACAATTATTTTTTTTACTATAAATTTCCTTTTTCTCCTCCCATTTTCTACTTTTTAATGATTTCAAGAACCAAATTAAAAGTTAAGACACTTTTTTCTCAATTGATATTAAAAGCGAATTTTTTTTAAAATCTTATATTTTGTTTTATTCAATCTTATCGAATACCTAGGAAACGGGATAGCAAATAACCATATATGCAAATACATTGAAACCCAGAAATGACGCATGTATGCATGCACAAAAACGTATATACACAAAAAGATTGAGGGAGTAGAGACAGTGAGGGGGTGGGGTGGGGTGGGGTGGGATTTAATTTAGTAAGTCTACCTGCCTTCATCAACTGAACTTAAATGCAGAATTGAAGAGTGGAGCATTAATACAGCCTCGTTTTCTACAAATATCTTTCTTCGTCACTATCACCTTCACTGATTTCTCTTCTGCTTAATGACTCCAATCCACCCACCTCCTCTCTCCTTCATTTATACAACCCACTCTATAATTGCATCATTAGTCCCCAACCTATGGTTGTCACACAAGTAGTCCTGCACTAGATGAAACTTGGCCAGCTAATAAGCATGGTGGTTAAACTCTTGATCTAGATCTTACGATTCTATGATACTAAAATGATAAAACGATTTGACCCTATTGTAAGATTTTAAAATTATAAATTTTATGATCCCGTTGCTGGATCCTAGTGATCTTAACGATCCTCCCTTTTTTCTTATCATCACGGAGTTTTATGCTTCATTTTTAATTTGTAATTAATATTTAAGAGAAGATTCGATGAACTCATTGAATTCGTAAGATCAAAATTACAATCCCCACAACCTGGCTAAAAAGTTAATTTGTTTAATGAAAATACGGTGGCAGAACCACTTAGGGCTTAGCACCATTTCTATTTTATTTTTTTTACTAATAATAATAATTGTGCAACAATAATGGAATATGAAGGACCAAAATCTCTTATTTCAAAAGTTGAGGACTAACTCTCTGTACATACATATACAAACTCATCTGTCTGCTTCCATATAGCAAGTTACATTTAAGATAATAAATAATTTTCATGCAATATATGTTAAAGAGTAAAAGGAGAATGGGGACATAGTAACAATTAATTACTTCTCTCAAGAGCTCAAGTTTATATATTCAGAATTTACTCCTGTCGATAACTTGGTTAACAAATTACAAGTTCAAGAATAATAATAAAGGATGGACTGTCCACCACGCAACTCGACTATATATTTTGTTTCCTCAAGTTGGATTGACTTGGACAACTAGAAAATTTTGATACATACTTTATTATTTAATCTTGTTCAATACGATATCTTCACGACGTGAAATGACAGTTGAGTGCATACTACTCGCAAGTAATACTAATCGTTGCACAATTTTTGAGTAGACCAAGCCAATATTTTGGATGAAATAATTCATTTAATGAAAGGGTCACGATTAGAGTGAAATATGGTCTTGATTTGAAGTAAATAAATAATGGGGTCCTACTTCCCTAAATGGACTAGTAGAGTACGTACATGGGCGGTCTTTGGCAGTTGAAACTTGAAAGTCATGGTTGGTTGGTGGTTGGATGCAATAGTTTTAGCTTTCTTTATATAGAGAGATTACAATAGAACATACGTGTATATAAACCGTAATTTATATTTTTATGGTACACAAAGGAGTATAAGAGCTTCTAACATATAAAACACAACTTGTTAATCAAATTATAGATATGATGTTTCAACTTTCAACACATATGAACTCAAAACCTTGACATATATGTGCACTTTTCCCGTCCAACATTAAATCTCTGGATATGTGAGTCAAACAACATTAACAATAATATCAAGTAGACCTCTCAATAGGATTCAAACTCAAACGAAGTTCTAATCATCTATTGAGAAAAAAGAACGAAAAGATTTGGTAAGATGTTCAAGAAAGCATACTATTTACACTCTATGAATAGTCTAAAATTGAGGAATATCTACAAAGACATGTTCGGAACTAGTTTGATTCTATCTTTGTTCCTTCCATCCCTTCAATTGTTCTACAATATCATTGTGAATAATTCCTATCTTGTTTTTCGTAACTGTAGTTTAGTCAAAACAAGAAGCATTTTGACCAAACCATCCAGTTTCTTTTGTTTATTGCATAATTAGTGCTATTTAGCACCAGGGTGGAGCACCAATTTAGGTGACTATACTTTATAAATTCAATTAAATGAGTTATATGATTTTGTATTTGAATAAATATATCATTTAATGTTATATAATTGTCACTTAAATTGGTGCTTAATATTAATGGTGGTGAATAATATTACTCTTATTGAGTAGCATGTACGACTCAGGGATTTCTCGGTTCAAGAAATCATGATAAAAGAACCATATAACTTTATCAGCACGGCACTCTTACTTGATTTCTAATTTGAGCATTAAAGGACCATTATGGCACGATATCTTCTTACTCTTGTTGCAAATTCATTGGACAAGAAAATTCTCAACTTGGCAAAGGACAGAATGAAAAGAACTCAACAAGTATCATTATTACGCAATAAAGATAATCACTAGTATCCTTGCATCAATTGAACTCATAACTCTAAATCCTTTTTGAGAAAGTAATCGAGTGAAGTTTGTACTGGCTACCTATTTATTCGTGTGCAGTCTATGAAACCAAAGGTGCATCGTACAAAGATCAAATAATTCAACTTCGAATCCTCTTTGGTTGCTCTCTTGTTTAATAGAAAACTGAGCGAAAATAACATTTTTATACCAGTGTTTAAGGCTATCAGTAAATCTACTTTTGATAACTTGAGAGAATTTTCCAATATTCTTATAATTTGATTTACCACAAATCTCAATCAATGTGAAAATATTCCCATTGTCCAATTCATTGTAAAAGAAGTTTCTCCTCGTGGTCCATCTACAACCAAGCAAGTCTTAAGGAAAATGGTTCGATGTTGGGAGGGGCTCGATGCTGGGGAAGGAGGAGGGTTGTATAAGTAGAGGTTCGAGTATGGAAATTTATTGTTTCCGATTATCTTTATTTGTTCCCGGTGGGAATCATGCCATTACAAATTTTCTTCTCAATTTTAGTTAGTAATTTGTTTAAATTTTGTTATATATGTTCTTTTGAATGAGTCAAAAATAGTTAGGGTTGTTTTATCTATTATTTAAATTTAAGTAGAATATGGGCTCATCTTCCCTATGTTTTAGGAAATTATTATGTATAAAGCCAATGTTATTAATAAAATGAATGTTGGTTATTCAATATTTGAAAATGTAGATCTCTTTATGGATTTTTGAGAGGTATAAGTGTCCTCGAACGAACTTAACATATTTTTTTATTCCCTGGTTACTTCAAATAAAATGTGTTCGTAACGTCCCATGTGACTTGGCAGTATGTGGGGTGAAATGATAAGAACAATTAAATGTGTAAAATCTATGAGACTCGCTTAATTGGTCTTTTCATTTAAAGGTACATTATACGGGGATGATCCCGATAGAAATAAATAGTATTGCTCCTTTTATTGTGATTATTCTTTTCTACTTGTTTAAAGCGTGATTGATAAAAGCTTTTCAATGAATTTATAGCCTATTTTGGTCATATACCTTAATAACTTTTTATTATGATAATCAAGATTATTGATAATTTTGTGTAAACAAAAAAGAGAAGTCGTGTACTAATGACTCTAAAGGTTGAGGACCATGACAACAATTTTCCCTCCGGTTTTTGATAAAAATGTTAAATAGTGATTAGCAAGCACACCCTTATCAATGTGAAATAATGTTTGTACAAAATAGGGAGAAACCTTGTATTATATGACATGCTTAGACTTTCGACTTTCCTTGCTAAAAGGAAACCTTGGGGCAAAGTCTTCAGACAAACCTGCGCCAAAACCAGAGTTGTTCCCACAATTGATGCATTGAGTTCAATGGAATCCCTTTTTTCTATGGCATAAAAATCAAGAAAATGGTCATTGCAGCAAGCCAGCCCGCGCAAAACAGGAATGCTCCATACTTGAAGTGGCATAGCAAGGTCAAGAATGCGAAAGCATGAATGCAGCTGCCAAATTCACCGCTACACTTATGCTTTGCCCCGTTGTTCTGATTTTTATTGGGAATATTTCAATTGGAATTAGCCAACTTAAAGGCGCCCCCATGACCAACCAAATCCAGACGCATAAATACACATCAAAACAAGTATCAATGTTGCGTATTCCTTCGATTTATGTCTTGACATTGCTGATACGCCCGTTACAGCGGCTAGTACACAAGCAATTGAGACCTTTCCAGAATGACGGGAATTTAATTGTGAATTTTAGTTGACATCACAAGATGAGGCCTATCTGTCTCTCAAATGTAATCACAAATGGTTCTTGATTTATGGCTTTTGCAGTTTCACTAGACTTGACTAGTTCAGCTAGTTCATTTTCATTAGCGACATTGGATTCGGGTTCAGATCCACGGACTTTCTCTAGAGATTTTTGGGCTTGTTCAATTTTGCCCCGCTCCACAAGGCTACTAGGTGTGTCTGAGATTAGAGAAGCGCCCAATATCATGGTAGCAGCTAGTACCATGGCAAGGCCAAGGGTGATGCGCCACCCCAAATGCAGTGTTCTGCCACTACACCGATGCCTATAAATAATTGGAAGCCGGTGTTGAATGCACCCCGCCACTTCGGTGGAGCCATTTCCGAGAAGTAAACAGGAGTAGCCTTCACGACATAATTCTGAGTAATTATCAATTTTATTAAGATTATCAATATGAGAAAATTATTGCTCATAAAAAGTGAGGTCATAGGAATTGTCTCAGCAAATGATTTCTAACACATAATTTGATACTTGTTTTTAGAAATAGAAGTCTTAGATGTCGAAGACATAATTTCAATAAATAAAGTAACGTAACACATGTCTAAAGACTTAGAGCTTAAGATTTGGTGGTTCAATATAGCATCAAAACATGCGGAAGTCGTAATTTCAACTCCTTTTAACTTTTTAGACGAGTTGGTTCAAGATTAGGTCACTGAACAAATTATTTCTGCTTGGTAATGACCATTGGTTTGTCAATATTTGGAGGTTCATTTCATTAAACAAGCAAGGATTCCAAAACGAACAAAATAAAAGCCAGCACTTGTCCTATCACTAATACTAGTAAAAATTCAAATCATAAGTGGTACCTGGTTAGTAAAACCAACCCTAAATCCTAGCAAAATGCGGCAAAAAATGAGCATAGGAATATTCTCAGCCACGTTGTTGATAGCTGCACCCACAAGGAATGTACAACCACCTAATACCATGATGTTTCTGCGGCCTAAAGCTGCTGTGAGGCGGCTGGCAACAAGAGAGGCAGCTAGTCCGGCTATATAGATTGAAGATGTGAAGGCCTTGAGAACCTGGCTGTCATATACACAGTACACATTTGTTTCAGCCCCAACTGCATTCTTTAGTATTGATGGGAAAATTTTCTCAATAAAGGCTTCATTGTTGTGACACCACCTATAATGTAATTGATAGAAAATAATATACATTAATCTAAGTTGAAGATCAAATTAAATTACATATGCGTGGCCTTTATCTTGTAGAATTAAATTTTATAGGAAGATGGTTAAATAGTATCAGAATTAGGCGAAATCCGTGGGTTTAAGTATATCATTGATGAAAAAACGCAAGATTCAACCCAACTACACCTAGAGGGGGGTGATTTGGTGTAAATGAAGAATTAAAACTTTAATCAACAAGCAACAAGTCACAAGTTAATTATGTCTAGGTGATTAGTCAAACAATTCAATTAGTCCTATCTTTGAATATCGCAGTAATATCAAAACAGTAAGAACAACAGTAAACAACATCAGAATTGTTCACGAAGAAACCCAGTGGGGGAAAAACTCTAGGCACTTTGTCAGTCAAAGATCCACTATAAACTTTTGATAAACTTACAGACTATCAGCAAAGTTGACGACACAAGCTTTCTGATCTCCTATCTAAAGTTTGAAGCAGACCTCCTGGAATGTGCACACTAACACCAATCCTGACTCTTCTTTGTAAAGCAGTCCTCCTGGAATGAGCACACGAACTTCAATCCTGACTCTTTACGTAGTTTATTTCTTGTAGATCTTCCCAATAACTCCTTGTTCTTCAAATTCTTTCTTGATCTTCAATGCAGCAAAGTTGACGACGTAATCTTTCTGACAGGCCCAAGCGAAGAATGCAATCCGGTGTTTGATTTGATGGATTTGATGTTTTCAATATGATGAACTCATATATGATTGAAGGATTGAACTTTTGATCTTGTGTAGGATGAATTCTCTCTAGAAAATAGTATGTTCAATCTCCCTTTTCGTAGAATATGCGGTGCCTCTATTTATAGGTTGGACAGTTTAGGTAAAATGGGTCAAGTAAAAGTCTCGAAAATTGAAATTAGGTCTGGCCGAAAAAATATGTTGCTCGAGCGAGGAGGACGTTTCACTCGAGCTAAGGGTTTGTCGCTCGAGCGACAGTAGGGCGAAGGTCGAGCTAGGATGTTCCTGCTTCATCCACTCGAGCATGACTCCGGAGAGAAGCTAGCCAAAAACCGGCGTGAATCCTTCTTGTTCCAAATATAAAACCCCAAACCCTAAGCTAACCTACCAACTATGAAACTTTACAATTTAGTCCATAAACTTTTATAATCGTTCAAGTTGGTCCTTTTGTTCACCGAATCACCAATACAATATATAAACCTAACAAACTCCCCCTTGGCATTCTGTGACAAAACCAAATACAATACAAAAAATATACTATCAAAACTACCCAAGTCCAACTGAATCAATTGAATATAGCTTCCACTTTGTTAAACCTGTATCCTGAAATCAAAGACTCACATACCCAGTGTAAAAGCACGTGATACAAGAAATAAGCAGTAAAGTACTTAAGAAGCATAATCAAATCAAATAAATAAGCAAACTAATTTGAGATGCAATATTAATGCTAATCAAAACACCATGACCACATTAATATAAAAAAACATCAAACCTCAAACAACTATGTATGAAATGCAACACAAATGCAATGCGCATGCTCCTCCTCAGTACATGATATGCAATGCAAATGTAATGCACAAGCCTCCCTTATTGCAAACTTTCAAAGTGTTAAAGCAGTAGATAAATGTATCTATGTCTCTTCCCAACGACCCCTTAAGACATAAGACATAGTGTAAAAATCAATGCAATGTATATCAAGTCAAATGTCAAAATGTATCTATGTCTCACCCCCATCAACCCCTAAAGACATATGTAGCTGCTCAAACAATAAATGTGTATGATATGTCTCCTTCTTACAATACAATCGTCTCCCCCTTTTTGTCACAAATGACAAGGGACAAAGCAAAATCACACAACATCTCAATAATGTAGGTATAAGCAATCACAAGCATATGCAGGGCACAATAAATTTTCCTACAATTCCAACTTAAAACACTCATGGAGTAAATGATATAAGTGACTCATATGTGTTAAGTATCACTAATCCTCTGGCAGTAGGACTTCGAATCTTCAATTTGTGAGAAATGACATGCTAAATATCACTGCTAATAGTATATTCCTCTACTTATAAAAGTCAAACCGTATAGCACATTAAAACCTAGATATGAAAGCTCATTTCTAATGAAGAATTTATTTTCTCTCCCTGATTACAGCACAAATATTTTTCTTTTTATCACAACTTTCAATATGAATGCTCACATATTTTTATTCATCGTAAGTGCATGCTCATTTCTATTAAGCGACTAACATGACCCCTATAATCAGTTTTAGGCCGGTTAACCCAAGTCAGATGACCATAGGCACCAGATTATGAAAAATCCAGCAGGCTTAATTACTCAAGTCAAGTATACTTCGAAAAGAAGTATTAAGATATTGAAACCCTTATGATTATTTTGCCAGACAGATATTGATTCATGCAGAATAATATTGAGCTTAGGTCTAATAAAAATGGTCAATTCATGTTTAAAGTCACCCTATTAACATGTGACTGTCTTCCTAAAACTCGCACACGCTGTAGAGTCCCACTGTCAAGATCATAGTGTGTAGTGCAGATTGTATATGAAGAGACCTATACAAAATACTACATAAGTATCATAAGCTAGTTGTGGAAATTATATTACATCTTACTAAATAAACTCATTCTTGATTACAACCAACAAAATCAAGTGTAATGGAAATCATGCTGTAAAACCAATGTCTAAATTAACATCCCCCACTTTTTTTTTGGTTAAACTTTAAATCAAAGCGAGAAAAGAAAATGTTTTTGTTTGATTTTTACATAAAAACATGAATGCACCAATCACACAAGACATATAAAAATTCAAACAAAACACAAGAATATAAAATAAAATACATGAAAGATAAGTAAATAAACATGATGCATACATAACACAATGTCACACAGTAGTAGAATACCAGCATGCATCAAATATACTCAGTCAATGAGGTACATAAATGCCAATAGCTATTCTAAGAGATTCAAACCGAAGACCATCCAACAGTAAATAAATCAGCTAATTGGTTCTCAGTAGAAATATGTTCAAGATTCACAATTTGAGTTTCCACAAGTGCTCAAATAAAATGATGTCTGATGTCAATATGTTTAGTTCGAGAGTGTTGAACATGATTTTTAAAAATATTAATAGCGTTGGTGTTATCACAAAACACAGTCATAGTACACTGTTTAATCCCATAATCACTCAACATCTGCTTCATCCAAAGCAGTTGAGTGCAGCAACTTCCTACCGCAATGTACTCAACCTCGGCTGTGGACAATGAGATAGAATTTTGTTTCTTACTTATCCAAGCAACGAGGTTAGCATCAACATAAAAACAACCACCATAAGTACTATTTCTATCATCGGCATTACCATCCCAATCAGCATCGGAATAACTAGCAAGATCAAGATTAGAGTCCCTAGAGTATAGGGTCCTATACTCAACAGTACCATTTACATATCTAATAATACGTCGCACGACGCTCAGGTGTGACTCCTTAGGATCAGCCTGAAAACGCGCACAGACCCCTACATTAAATGATAGTCAGGTCTACTAGCAGTGAGGTAAAACAGACTACCTATCATACTCATATACAATGTTTGGTCAACACTCTAGTGTATTTCTTACTGTCTAATCCAAACGCTCGACAAGATTCTTGGCATATTTCGATTGAGATATCCCATCAGTCTGCTTGACTTGAAGACTAAGAAAGTACGTTAATTCACCAATCATGCTCATCTTAAATTCTTGCTTCATACACTCATCGAACTCATGAGAAAGTGAATCAATGGAAGAACCAAAGACGATGTCATTCACATAGATCTGAGCTATGGTGATGGTATCCTTAATTCGTCTTATAAACAAGGTTCTGTCTGCACCACCTTTCGCAAAACCATGTTCCAGGAGGTATGTAGTAAGCCGATCATACCAAGCGAGCTTATTTCAGCCCATACAAGGCTTTATTCAGCCTATACACATAGTGAGGATATTTCAGATCAACAAACACTTTAGGTTGTTCCACGTAAGCTTCTTCCTGGAGAATACCATTCAGAAAAGCACTCTTGACATCCATTTGGTACAGTTTGAAACCCGAGGTACATGCAACCGCAAGAAGAATTCTAATAGATTCAAGCCTAGCTACCAGGGCAAAAGTTTCATCAAAATCAACACCTTCAACCTGAGTGTGTCCCTGAGCAACCAACCTAGCCTTATTCCTCGTAATGGTACCTTGATCATTCGTCTTATTCTTGAATATCCACTTAGTACCAATAATATTGCAATTATCAGGCCTAGGCACTAAGTCCCAAACTTTGTTTCTAACAAACTGATTTAACTCATTATGCATAGCATTAACCCAACATTCATCCCTAAGGGCTTTCTCAACCTTCTTTAGTTCAATTTGAGACACATAGATTGCATATGATAGGTTGTTCAAAACCCTATTGCGAAGTCTCATTCCTTTTTCTATATCTACAATCACATTATCCTTAGGGTGATTCAATTTGACTCTAAACGAATGTTCTTTAGGTGGTTTAGCTTCATTATCAGAAGTAGAATCCTTAGTTGAAACAACCAACTCATTTGATATTTGTGGGGGATCAACATCCAACTGTTCCCGCTNACATGCTTTCCACCAATCTCCCCATCACAACCAGTATCATCAACCACGACATTTTTGAATTCCATCACGACATGTGTACGATTGTTGTATACTTGATAAGCCCGACTATTCTTGGAATACCCTAAAAATATACCTTAATCACTCTTGGAATCAAACTTTCCCAAGTTCTCTCTCTCTCTCTCTCTCAAAATGCAGCACTTGCTGTAGGTTGTTTACCCTTCCAGATCTCATACGGTGTCATGTCAATTTTTGGTCTAAGATAAACTCTATTGATAATGTGACATACAGTATTTATGGCTTCACCCTAGAAATGCATAGCTAATCTTTACCATGAAGCATAGCTCTCGCCATTTCTTGAAGAACATGATTTTTGCTCTCAACTACCACATTCTGTTGTGGAGTGATTAGTGAGGAGAACTCATGTTGGATTCCCTCCTCCAGACAGAAGTTCTTAAGATTTGAGTTTTCGAACTCCTAACCATGATCACTACGAATTCTGGGCACATAATAACTTTTCTCATTTCTAAGTTTCTTACACAAGGAGATAACAAGACTGAACACTTCAGTTTTATCTCTCAGCAATTCAATCCAAGTGAAACGAGCAAAGTCATCAACCACAACCAAGATATATCTTTTACCACCAAATAATAGACTTAGCAAAAAAAAACTCAAATGACACCAATAGACGTCTTTTGGCCGAGGAATCATACTAAAATTTTCTAATTTACAACTATTTTACAATTAAATGAAATATTTACAATGTGCTGCCGAAGTTGGACAAACTGCGGCTGCAATAGGGTCACGGGGCTTAAGTAAAGCTGCAGTCCATGACACTATGTCTATCAATAAAAGTAAAAGCTTGATACTTTTGAGACAATCTTTTACCCTTGACATCTGAGCAAATATGGTACCATAAAATATTATGCACAAAATTAGCATCTTCTTTTGGCAAGAAAATTATAGCAATCAACTCTTCAACTAAGATATTAATAAAAGCCCGACCAATAAAAACACAAGCCATGAACGAATGGGAAAACATCACTGCAGCAATCCGAGTGAAATCCGTAAGCATAACATTCTGAAATAACAAGACAAAAACGGGGATTAACTCTGCACAGCAGATTTAACTGGAAGCTCTAACTATCCTGAACTATAGTATATACAACAAAAGTGATTCCCAAGAGTACAACAATGGATTTCATTATAAGAAGACAAACAACGTCGGGTCAATCATATTGCTAAACTGCTGTATGTGAAACATTAGCATTATCCCAAAAGATGCCATTTGCTGGAAATTGACACCAACGAGCAAGTACAAACAGGCACTAACTAGAGCTGCTGGCTGAAGGGCTTTCCTGCACGAGCATCACAATCCAATTTCTAAGAAAATATATGCAAAACTCAACTGGTAAGGTATGTTAGGAATAACCTGCAACTCAATCATTACTCTACCACAAGCATGTAATAATACAATGTGCAAAGGGTTCAGAGATGAAACAAGATTCCAGCCACACAAAAACAAGAAATGCATCTAGACCACCATAGTCATTGAGGCTTTTCTCCTACATGGGTTTACCAAGATCTTCGTCTTTTTTATCCTTTTTCCCTCTCTTACTTTCATTTTTCCAAATTGAGAGCATGGATGGTGTGCAGTGAGAGGGAAAGAGAGGGGGGAGGGGAGGTAGAATGGTATAAACAAAATCTTGAGACATAAAAACTATCAAATGCATGCACTTATCAAGTCAGACTTTTTATAAGGCTCAGTCCAGAACAACAAACCCAAGAAAAATAGTCATTGTTTGGCCCCCATTTTGGAGAATTTATAAATTTTGGAATATTGATTGATGGGAGAATGTGGTTGAAAAATAATGAAAAGTTTTAGATTTGTGTGTAATATTATTTTATTTGGAGTGTGGGGTTAAAATTAAGAAAGAGAAATTTTAAAAATTTTAATGGAGGCCAAACAAGGGCATGGTATGTCGATGAAAAATGCATCAAATGACAGACTAAAACCAGAACATCTGAAAAATAGAAATAGGCACCCAACAATATCAAATGATGCATAATCTCTAAAGCTTACGGAGGCCCAGTAAAAATTAACAGCAAAAAGACGAGCGTGCTATATTCACTCACAAGTGTAACTTCTGCATCATTCTGTGCACAACGTGAGCGCTGTAAGTGGACTGCGTGTTCTCACCAACAGTGTAAATCTCAAGTGAGTGGGTTGGAAGTTACCTTCGTATTTTTTATTTAACAATGAATGCAGGAATAACTAAATTTATAAATGAAACTGTGACCATCATTTAGAAATTGGGCTTTTTTAAGTTGGTTTTCTTACATTTATTCATATAATATTATAGATGAATTATTACCGACTTTCACGGTTTCATACATCTGAAGCCGAAAACATCAAGTATCTTTCACATTGCATAAATAGATTTCAGTCTGAAAGATAAAGTAGTTTCCCAAATTTGACATGAGATATATAGGAATCGTCCAACGATATAATGCAAGATCTATGTACAGCCACATAGTCACCTAAATGCAGGCACAAACAGAAAATCTTGCCACACGCACAGAGAGAGAGAGAGATCATACATTGTGCTCACTGGCAATGTAAGAGACAACTACAGTGATGTCATCAAGTTTTCCACCATAATAACGGAACCCAGCTTCTTGGGCTGCAGCAGAGAAAGGTGTCTGCCTGCTTTTGTCCTGTGCTCGTTGCCGAGCTAATGCTGCAATCTTTTGTGCCGTTACTTGAGGCCCTAAACCAGCTCTCACAGCATGAACCACCACTGAAGTAATATCGTTGTTATACAAGTTATCAAAAAGTCCATCCGTACCAGCAACTATAACATCTCCAGGGGCAACAGGAATTGTAAACACCTGCACCACACATTGAGCCATTCAATTCCAAATGGTTCACTTCCAAGAAGCAGAATAAACCAAATTGTTAAACAATAACAAACTAATGCAAAGCATTGATCAGCCTTTTTCCCCTGAAGTTAAAATATTGCTTATACCAATAAACAAAGACAATAATAGCCCTAACTAAAACTTATTAAAGACTGCAAAGCTATTTAAGGGTTGCAGAAAAAATTTGGCCCTTGTTTGATCCCCATTATTTCCAAAATATATTTTTCTCTCTTCTTTTCAACCACATTCTTCAATAAAATAATATTACACGCAAACCCAAAACTTTTTCTTATTTTTAACCACACATTCTCCATCAATCTACAATTTCAAAATGCACTCTTAGCCAAAAATGGAGCTTAAACAAGCACAATGTATTTAATGAAAGCAACAATCTAAATTCCATTCAAGGGAAAAGGAGCTGCAGATGTAGTACAAGGCCAGATTTCCACCATAAAGAAATTATTATTAGAGAACGCATAATTTAGCCAACATGAATTTAGCCAATATGTAAAATGAAATGCACGAGTCCTATGCTGTGCGGACTCGGGTAAGAGTGACCAGTGTTAGACAAGAGTGCACGCCTCAGTGCAAGTCGACAAAATCTATCAAATAATGCTTCACTTGAGACTCACTAGACGGATTTATGTAATATAGCATATGTTTAGCACCCCGTTATAGGATGCTCAAAACTATCCACGGTACATTTTAAGCTACGGTACAGCAGTTAACTATAATGAAATTCAAACGTTAATTAAGTTGAAAAAAAAGATAACTGAATAAGAAAACAGCAGGTTGAAATTATAGATCAATTATACAGTTTCAACTTTAAACTTGGTATGAAACACAAGATTTTTCATCCTTTCACCTTAGTCAGCACTCTCAAAAAGGTCCTATGCAATTAACATTATGAAATACAATTTCCCTTGTTTATAAGAGCTTGTTTGCCTTCCATTATAATCTACTAAGAATTTAAAGGTCAAAGTAAAACTTTAATTTTTAACCACACATTTCATAAGACATACAACTACTACCCATTTATCCACCACTCATTTTTGTCACATTATAATTTCAGCAACTTAGCCCTTATACGGGAGAGATTTTTGAAAAGTGATTTTTTTTTTTTTGCTTTTTCTTTTTTTGAGAACGTATGGTTAAAAGCTAAGGAATGGGGAAACATGAAAAATAATTTTTTTGTAGAATGTGTGGTTGAAAATGAGTGTGGGGGAAAGTGCTTTTCAAAAAAATACTCCCACACAAGGGCTTATATAAAACCCAAACAAGCACCAAGTACATTTTCTGCAAAAGGCTTGCATTACTTGTGCACTGGTTAACAATCACAGAACCATTAGCAGAAAGAGTGTAAAAGAAACAGGTTCCATCTTACCTCTCCAGAGCTAGGCAAATCTCCAGCATTTCCACTTTCCAGCTGATAAGTGAAATTAAAATCATGCTGCTGAACAGGGGATCTGAAAACTGTACATCCATCTCTGATCACCATAAACCCACTATCTCCTAAATTTATGGCATGGAGACCCTACAGAGGAAACAAGGCCAGTCAACTCCAGAATCCCAAGCATTTCAGTGTAAATGTGACTGGAAAAAATATGTATATTCCATGCTGAAAATTCAAATATCTAGATGGAAAATTCATAGAGTTGAAGAATTTAATCAAGTGAATAAACCATAACCTCAGATATCCAGTTTTGACCCTTGAGCCTCTTGTCATGTTTAGCCAATAATGTTACTAGAAAGTACTTATTTTATCGCATTCTTGTAATATAAGTAGAATACAGGACCACCTGATCTGTGAGAGCAATTATACAAGCTGTCGACGAACCCTTGGCTTTCGTGCTTGTGTGAGCTTTCTCCAGGACTCTGGCTGGATCAATTGAACCCCTTGGTTCTTCTTGAATTGCATCGACTGAATTAGACATGAGCTCACGAGCATACAGGCCTGCATCAACTCCAAGATCAGCCCATCCACCAACACCATCAGCTACACCAATTGCTTGTTCATCCAAGCAGATAAAATGAGCATCCTCTCCACCAGTTTCTTCTTTGTCAGGATGGGGCAGGTAACATGATGCTGAATTTAGCTTTAGATTTCTGTCTATTGGCATCCTCCTGCAATCGACAAGTAAAATAATAGATACAAAAATTCCTACAAAATCAGAGTTGCTAAACACACGAAGTACTTTCATTTATTGCACAAGAAACAAAAATAAAAACTTCTTTTCCATGACACATTACATGATTTTCATATTAATACTTCTAGCTAGTACCAAATTTGGTTCCTTTTTTTTCTGAAGAATATATTAGCAGTGAAACTAATGCCTGCAAAATTCCAAACAAATATCCAACAAGAAACTTTCGGAGCTTGCTCAATGATTACTTGCTAGTTAAAATAAAAATAAAATAAAATAAAATTATGATACATATGAAAATATAAACAAACCATATATGCCTGTTCAAGCAAAACAATCCAAAATACAAAACACGCGTTTGTTTTAGCAAAATATTATGTCCTCTCCAACGAGATACCACATCAACTCTAATAAACAATCAACTCTGCATATGTAGAACGTGATATGAGCAAATAAAACTTGCTAAATATAATTTTTCGTTCAGAGTTTCCTGAAGTGACAATTATTAACAATTTGAAACATTCATCAAATAAATGAGGTAACTACAATCAGACATTTAATTTTGCAACAATTACAGAACGAAAGGTGGGGCCTGAACTTTAAGAGAGTGGGTGTGCGTCTGTGAGAGAATTGCATATACTTAAAGGAACATACAAATCAGAAGAATCTGCTGAACTTGAACATTGTCCCTCCTGTGTGGAGCTATCAAACGACATGTCAGAAGCCGTGCCTGTAGAGGAACATGCTGATGATGAAATGTGGAAACCATCAAACCCGAATCTTGGGTATGACTTGGAATTGCCCTTTCTCTTTGCAGCATTATATATGAAATATCCATAGAGCAAGAAATTGTTGGGCTGTTCTTCATTTTTCAAGCTCATGCTAGCTTTTCTACAATTATCAAAGCTTCTTCTGCTGTAAGAAGTGAAAGAACGATATGCTGCCACACCAGGTTGTACTGATCTAGAAGTCAAATTACTAATAGAACAATCAGCGGGAGCTGATCTAGATCCACAAACAGCCATAAGAACCTTTTGAGAGTTGATGCCAAAAGTAATCTGACAGGGATCTGATAGCAGACGATCAATGTGATACCCACAAACTTGAAATGGAGGCCCTGATACAGACGGTATGGAAATTGCACGAGAAAATGCACCAACAACTGAAATATTTTTTCTTCGATTGACTATATGCAAATTTGCCTGAGAAGCAGCAACAGTGCCAGGCCGTAGAAATACATGTAGGTCAGAAAAAGTTCCAGAAGGCACAGAATGGAATGACTTTGAGTAGCCAAGCAACAATTTCCCTTGGCCAATCAAAACCTCTATGGGATCTTGGATTCCACTTTCTTTCACGTTGATTGATCTCTGGACTCCTTGCCAGAAAGATACTCCAAATCTTGAGAAATAATTAGAGGGCATTTTCACCGCTCAAGGGAAATGATTCTACCACCTGTTTATTACAGAGGATACAACCAAAGGTACCACAAAATAGAGATAATCTCATAACTCCCAGTGCATCTATTTATGAGAATATAATCAGGATCACCCTTCCTCTCTACAAAGGGTAACACAAATGAAGAAACCTGGCATATGAAAGCACAAAGAGCAAATATAATGAGGAAAATGTACATCATCTTTGGCCGGTAGAAAAGAAGGCAGTAGAGATACATCGGTAATTAAAGTTTGAGTTATTAAAATAAGCATTAGGCACCAAGAATTTATCTGCTCCGAATACAATTAGGCAGGAACAACCACAAAAGATGGCAACCTAACAAATCAACTTATCAATTGCAACTACTTTCAGTTTCTAAACTCAGACATTAGATAGAAAGGAGAATCCATCTTTCATTACATCCTTCTATAAATTTACAGCTACAGTGTACTTGAACTTGTACGATGGCAGAAGTAAACAGAAGTACAGTAATATGGTTAGAATTTGTATAGCCCCAGAAACATACACAGTAAATATGGCTAGAAATTGTATAGCCCTAGAACCCTACACCAAGAATTAATTGACTACAAAAAAAAACGTGTTCTCTCGCTATATCAATTTTACTAATATCTAATGAATTATTCTACTTGTACATTCAGGTGTACAACCTGGGTGACATAGCTATTATGTCACCTAGGGTGTACACCTGAGTGTACAGTTGGTAAAGCTCATCTAATTTATGTGGGTTTCCACTGTATGAACCTTCCATCAGCATTTAATACAAGAATATCTCTTTTTTTTTACTTTAGTTACTATAATTGGACCTCAGAGATTATATCCATCAAGTAAAAAGTTAAAAAGACAAAATCAAACGTTAACATTTCTATTTGTAATCATATATGAAACTATTTTAGTATATATGTTCCTAAAAATATATAATGATAAAAGCAAATGGAATTATAACCAATCACTCAATCCTTATGGGATCTCCTTGAGATCGATGATGAAGATTTATGCAACATATAACTTGGAAACCCTCGTTTGCATATAGAAATGTTGTCCTACTTCCTTGGCAGCGTAAAGCCGTTCTAGTGTGTGCACCACTATTAACGATCAATCAGAAAAAACAAGGGAGATCAAATAATATATTCAACTCAGTTCACATCTTAGTTTACCACCATCATCAATAGCTTCACAAAATTTCTTACCTACAAAACGAAGCGTAGGTCAAAGTCGAAATTAAAAAAAAAAAAAAAAACCCAAAAAAAACAAAAAAAAAAAAAAGCTAAGAAAATTAAAAAAATTAAAAAAATTTGATGAGCCGGCTTGGCTAGCTCGCCCACTAACAAACGGCTCGTTTCTCCACGAGCCACGAGCCGAGCCGAGCACCTCGTGGGTTTAAGGGCCGAGTCTGCTCGACTCGACCCATTGACATCTCTAGGTTGAATTTAAAATTTTAATACATGAAGAATAAGATTTGTGATTCACAAGGCACGCTTGGTAGGATTTCTATTTCCACTTCTTGTTGAAATGTTTTCTAAGAAAGTCATTTTAGCTAAACAAATCACTTATAGAAAATTATTTAAACAAGTCCAAACTTAACCTCTTCAAAAGTCAAGTACTGACACTTCATATATTAATAAAAAAAAAAAAACCACTATCGCAAATACTCGAACAATCACAAATTATCCCGTTTAATAATAAAATTGAACTAATGGCGAAGGGACTAGAAACCGGACCGTTATTAGTGAATTCAGAAATTCCCAATGTCCACCAAATATACAGCTGCAAATACTCGTTGTACAGAATTCATGAATGTTTCGCGTGTTTGTTGGGTAAGAACCACACGCGCCTCCAACTTCTCTCTCAAAGATCTGGCTGTTGAGTAAGCTGAAACGGTACTAAATCCAGAAAGTTTCGCGCGAGAGAGTGATTTGGGATTGGATAATTGTCTGCGCCGGCAAACCCTAATAGGAAATAAGCTTTGACCAACAACAGTTTAATTTGGAAACACGGACTTATTAATTGGGCGCCCTTCCACAAAACCTGTTTAGGTTAAGACTATTCTGCCCTCTTCAATCCCCATTTTACTGTAACTAGTTTTTACCCCGTGCAATGCATGGATTGTATTATTTTGAAGACAATGTTAGCATCTTAAACGTTAAGAATTGATAGAAGATTGTATTAAAAAAATTTAATAAACACATTTGTATAAAAGAAATAATGTTTCATAAAGATGTAATGTTTAGTCCAAAATTTGAACAAAGAGCAATAATTTACAAGATAATATATAGGGTTGGGCAAAACTCGCCCGAAACCGACGACCTGGCTACCATATGTAATGATTTTTTTCATTTTTTTGGTTGGGTTCGGGTTATTGATGGCTTTGGTGGGTCGGGTCACAGGTTGATTGTAACGCCCCGAAATCTTTTTAACCTTTTTATAGATTTCGAGTGTTACCAAAAAAAAAATTTCTTTTTCTTATTGAAGTAGAAACACACTTTTGTTCAAAATTGACGACTGACCGATAAACCGATCTTATTAGAACAACAAGTTACGTACTACAATTTCAAATCAAACTTTGAAATTTAAAATAAAACGTCAAGTGCTTAACAGAAAGAACTACTAAAATAATGAGTACCACTTTAACATAAAAATGTCCTTCAAAACAAAATTTGCAATTTATTAATCTGGCTTTTACTCGGCGATCCCATAAGCATCACTCGTCAATCTTCAACGTCCGCACGATCCGTTTAATCTGAAATGTTAATGTAAGAATGAGTATTTCGGAAGAAACACTCAGTAAAAATACGTGCATATCCTTATTAACGTGATATAAACGTAAAAATTAACAGAACATACCAATATTTCTTATATTTAGAGCAAACTGGTCGCGACATCCAATAGCTCAAGGAATTACTTAAGAATTCTCATATCCCGTAGGATTTAACATATTTGACCAAACGGTCCATCCCGTAGGATTTAACATAATAGTCGACCCGAAGGCCTTAGGAGTATATCATGTCAAAATTACATAAATATCAAGAAATAAGAATTTAACACTTTGCACAATGTATTCTTACCTCAACTGGATACCAAGTAAATCTGAAATGTAATTTAGAATGATAATATGTAAAAGGATAGAGTGTGTATTAGAAAGGAATTTATGAAATTTCTCAAAGAAACACTCTCATCTCACACCACATATATATACATCTCCCACACGTAACTCCAAGGCAATTCCAAAGATTGATCAATAACTCCAATCAATGCATTCAAGTTAATCAAGGTAATGGATGTTAATTAAAGTCATTATCCTTGGTTAAATGGGATTTATGAGGTTTAAACTTTATTACGTTTTGTCCTTTTAAATTCTTTTTATAATAATAAAATATTATGGTGGCAAACATTCTTTCCGACTAAAATAACTCCGACACAACTAGTTTAGAAATATTTTTTTCTTGATTCCGAATTATTTTATTTTTTACGAGCTACAAAATGAGTATAATATCGATATATTTTTTTTTCAATAGCTAAAATACACGACTCAAGTAGTTTACGATAAAATCTAAAAAAAATCTAAAAATTATACTTAAGCAAAACAAACCATTTACGTAAATAAGTGGTACGAGTTTATTGTTCAACTTTTGGACTTTTAGTGTGACGACCAAACTAGACATGGACTATTCATGTGCTAAATGTCAACCCTCAAATTTAGCCCATAGGGAAATAGAATAAAAATCCGGGGTGTTACATCGATCCCCTAAACCCGCCCAAACCGACCCGCAAGGAGTGAAAAAATAATAATAATAAGGTCATAACTTATAAAGGTAGAAGGCGTAAATTACAACTCAAATTCATTCAAATCCTACCTAACCTTCCATCTCTCTCTCTCTCTCTCTCTCTCTCTCTCTCAAGTCTCTCACAGACACGGTCACTTACAGGCGCCGCCCCCTCCTATTTTCTCTTGCCGACATCGTTCACTGATAGTCCACGATCGATTCGCACATGGCTGTTTCTTTTGTTCAGCAGTTAACCATCCTATTTCACCTTCAATAATAACCGGCAGGTGGCTACTCTCTCTCTCCCTCTTCAACTCAACCCCTTTCTTCCCCCTCTTATTCTTTTTTCTCCTCCTCTCCCCAACACACTCCTGCTTCCAAGGTATCTCTTTGTATCAACTATAATTTTGTCATTTTACCTTATTTTGGTGATGAATATTGTATGCAGTTTGATTCTGTATTTTGGTGCCTTGTCCTATCCGAGTTCGAGCTACTTTATGTGAGTTCCTGAGTTCTTGACTTCACAAGGCTTCTTTATGTTCCATGATTGCATTTTTACAGTTATTCTTTTCTTTATTTTGTTGATAAGTTGGATAAATAAAAGTTTGCTGCATTAATTTGAGCTTGGAAATTGGAATGTTATACTATAGTGTTATCATTGGCCCTACCTGTAGTTCCTATTTTACTTAGTAGAAGCATGCCCTCTGCAATTCATGCAACGCATTTAAGGCCAACCTTAAGGCAATTGAGTTCTTAATCTTATTCTACATCTAATAATTGAGTAGTTGAGAATAGAAGTATGACTTCTGACTTCGTGGATAGTTGGTGCAGACTTGTTATAGATTTATGTGGTTGTCATTTGTGCTTTTCTCACTAATTTAGTCTCTCTCTGAAAATACAGTGAAAGAAGGGAAAATGTTAACCATAAACTGACCAACCTAACCCGACCGAACGTGATTAGGTTAGGTTGGGTTTAAATACTTAATTGGGTTAGGTTGGGTTTGGTTGAGTAAAAACCCGACCTAACCTAACCCACGCCCAGCCCTAATAATATACAATAATTTACCTGAAAATATCAAAATAATGAACTAAAAAACATTAAGTGTCATTTTGACTTAGCAAATGAATTCAAACGTTCAAAATCCCTCGTACGTCACGGCAAGGTTGTAAGTTCAATGGGAATCGTCACGAGCTTTATGGAATGGGGTCATGGGCCCAAAACGGACACTGTGTTCTTTAGTATGAATCAAATGAGTGTAACAAATATTTTCAGCAATTTTTTACGAGGATTGAGGGCAACGCCCCCGAAAGGCGGGGATCGACCTGCCCGGTCAAGTCGCAAGGGTCGAGGGGACGGTGTCTCTCGTGAGGGCTCGGAGGCAACGCCCCCAAAAGGAAAATTTATATGTTGAAAAGATGTAATTAATTTCTAAGCAAATCTAACTTAAATTTCAACATATTTTAATATAAATACAAACAGTACATGTCAAATAATTAATAAGTGAAATCGTACTTAGTTTTTGTAAAATGTAAGCAAATGTTATTGCCTAAATTTAATAACAAGAAAGTGAAGAGTCAATTTGAAGGGAAAAAAAAAGGAAAACTTGTATTCAAAACCATCGAGAGTTATATAAAAAATATATATGTCTCCACGATGCGCGATGACACCGTGTCTCCGCACGGAGAAGGACATGGTGTCTCCATGCCACACAGAGAGGGACACGAAGACACCATCTCCGTGCCACACGGAGACACCACCAGACTTTTTTTTTCTTTCTCTAGAACCAACATTTTATCATTATGAATGGTTAATACTCTTGCTATCACACAACCATTCACTCGCATTGACTTGAGAAGGTATGGTAAAAAAGTATTATGTTTTCATTATTACCCTAAAATTTTCTAAAAGCATTAACTTATTATATTATTCTAAGAGTAAAGATAAAATGGTTCCAATCTTCAAGATTGCTAGTGTTTTATTTTCCTTAATATGTCGTCTTCTTTTCTTTCTCCTCCTTTTCTTGTCTTTTATTTTGTTTTTCACGATTTCTCTGTGTCTCTCAACCCTTCTTTTTCTTCTTCTCTCGATTTCTCTCTATTCTTTTTTCCCTACTCTCTGTACAGTTTTTATCATCTTGTGTATAAAATTTTAAGCCTACCTTTTATCAGGCAAAAAAAAAAAATTTAACCTTACCTTTTAACAATACCAGAATATTCTCCTACATGATTTGTGTATACTTAACGGAAGATAGGGAAGAATGAAAACATAAAACTAAATAAAAACGAAAAAACCGAAAGCAAGTTGCAAAAAAAAATGAAAAAACAAAAATAAAACAACAATGAGTAGAAATCTACCTTTAATGTCAATCAAGATAATCAGCAAATACATCGAAGATAAAGAATTAATCACGGTAATCAACAAATACGTCGAAGACAAAGAAGAGGGGATGTTCACGAAAATATGTTCACTTTGTAAATCACCGCAAGTGCACGGTTCGTCAACAAGTAATAAAGTGGAAATTGTAAAATTTTGAGTATCGTCCCACGAGGATTGATTTGATTTATATTATCAAAACCTTAACCGAATATATTAAACTCAAGATGGTTGGAGATTTGAATTTTATAACTAAACTATGACTAACATGCAATTTAAACTAAAGTTACTAAATGAATATAGAATGATCTTGAATGCAAAAGTTTGATAAAATTAATGAATGAAAAGCGCACTAGGATCCCGAATCACCAAGTAAAGTTCTCTTTTAACCCTTATTTCACAATTTGATAACACGATGAATTGGTTGAAAAATCAATGTTTCTAACTTATCCAACAATCTTTTTCAAGTAGAATTGAACATATTCTAGCATACCATTTGATTATATTTCTATGACAAATGCAACATACAAGAATGCATAACGTTTTGTAAACACTTAGAAATTCACGTAAAATATAGCGGTATATTTCTAGCCCTATGAACCTTACGATGATTTATACCTTGTAAAATATATTTCTCTTCTTTCGAATGCATAAAATAGATCACACAAACTCACATAATCACATGCATTTAACTATGGAGGGAGGAAAGTGTATATAAATCATTCAACATCCATCAATCGTGTTTGAATATCAAATTGCAAAATAGAGAATTAAAAGATCATATTGCGAGATTTATCGTTCACCTAGTACATAAAAAGTCTAGCCTAACATGGATAAAATAAAATAACAATAAAAATAATAAGGAGAAGATATCACCCAAAAACTAGAAATTATGTTTGAAATCTTGAATCTTGATTGAAATCCTTGTTCTCGCCTTCTTGTTAGCTCTCCAACGTGTTTTTCTCTCAAAGAATGCGTAGCCCCCTCTTTTTTGACGAGATTATGGTTATAAAGAAGTCCTAAATGCGTTACCATAAGTGTTTGATTCAAATAAGAAACCCAGAAAATTCGCGATCAGAATAAACCATGCAACTGCATGGTATAAACCCATGCGACATCATGGTTATAAAAAAATTTCACCGTTCATCTCATATTGGAGTTTGGGCGACTGCATGGTAGAAATTATTTTCCATTCGATTCACTTTGGTCCCCAAATTTGTTTCATCCACCTTTTGGCCTTACTTCCTTCTCCTTCTTCTTCTAATATCACATGATATCACAATGTATTACTTAACTCAATTTCATACTTGATTCACCATTCGGGTCATCTTCTGAATAATTGCATTTTGGTCCCCGAAATTTCATTTTTTTCCAATTTGATCCTTTTTTCGCTCGCTTTTGCGTACTCCTCATTTTATTCATCAATGTAATCCTACAAATACAAATTATATCGAATTAAGCCATATTTCAACACATACATCAACAATTTTTCATGTTTTGTGACCTAAATAAGTGTGCAAAACGCACTTATCAGGGGATTTCTACGCCGGTTTCGTTTTCATTTATATTTTATGGGTATGAACTTTTAAAAATGTATATATGTCAGACACAAATGAACTACGTTGGAGATATTTTTTCATACGACGTCGTTTCCATCCATATATTTTATATGGACAGTTAAAAACTGATTACTGAACAGTAACAATCCGATTTGGGTGTGAAAACGAGGCCAGAAAAATGAACGGTGAACTCTTATTCACTCTTTTATACAAAGGCAATGATTTTATAGTTTAACTCGACATTAACAAATAATAACTTAAAATCTTATCCAAAATTAATTTAGTGCTTGTTTGGTAGTAATTTTTGGGGGAAGAATTGATTTTTGAATAGTGTTATGATGGGAAATGTGTGGTTGGAAAAGAAGAAAAAATTATTGATGTGATGGAAAATATTATTTTATTGAAAAATGTGTGGTTGAAAATGAGAATTGATTTATTGTAGAATTTGAGAATAAAAACAAACAGGCTTTTAATATAAACACGTTTTAGTAGTAATGCACAAGTTACTTATTTTGATAAGGAAATAAATAGACTATGGGAAAAAGAATGTGTTTATTATGCCTCTATTTGGTTTAGATAAAAGTCACAACTTTTGTAAATTTTGATAAAAGTTGACATAATGTGTAATTGAAATTAATTGTTGACTTTGATTTGAATTTTAGTCAACATTTTTAATTGAATGTACAAAATAAAGACATAAAGACTATAATTCCATTTCCGAATATTCAACAAAAACAATTTTATTTAATGGCTTTCCAAAGAATGTCGAGCCGTCGAAAGCCAATCAAATTCCATTGGCAAGCTTGCTACATTTACAATTTGGTGTATGCTTTGATTTACACTTTACCACGTGACATTGTCCAGTTTAAATTTTAAACAGTTTTTTCATCCGATTATCACTTGACAACAATGCAAGTGCCAACCAAAGTATATAAATAGCAAAGTCCATTGGCGTATGTTTTAGATGACAACAACGAAATGGATGCTGATATTGAGAAAGCCTACATTGAAATGATGGAAAGATACATATCAGTACAATAATTCAGAGCTCCAAGAATGATGATCAATGCAACAAGGACAATTGGAAGTACATTTTGTTGTAATGTTCATCATCGAATCACAAAAGAATCCACAAGTCAAGACATACTTTCAACGAACTAGATTAGCAGAACACAATGACTAGTTGTTTATCAAATTTCTTAAATCCTGCTAAAGAGAATTTGTACACCATATTGGGGTTGCAGAGTCGTAGACTGTATTGGTGCATGAACGTAAGATGGGGAAACTACAAAAGAATACTGTTGGATGATCATGGCTAGAACAACTTTAGCTTCCACAATAGCTAAGTTTTGACCGACACAGATTCTGGAGCCTAAACTGAACGGGAAAAATGATGCTAAATGCTTTCGAGGTTCAGCAAATCTCAGAGGGTTAAATTCATTTGCATCGTCTCCCCAAATCTTAGTGTCGTGATGTACGGCAGTCAGGGCCAAATAGAACTGCGTATTAGCAGGAACGTCAATGCTTCCCAACTTAATACTCTTAGATGTTTGTCTCATCAGCGCTACTGCTGTAGGGTAGAGTCGAAGAGTCTCATTGATTATCATGCCAACCTGCCATTAAAAAACAAAATCCGTCATCAACACAGCAAAGTCTAAAACAAACTGAGAGCTGAGAACTTACAAGTTTGAGGTCAGTTAAATTTTCTGCAGTTGGGAATGCCCCGTCTCTGCAGGTGCAGAGAACTTCTTCCCGTGCCCTACTCTGCCATTCTTGATGATTTGCTAAAAGGAGAAGTGCCCAACTCAATAGATTTGCAGTTGTTTCCTTTCCTGCAAAGTAGAATGTTTTGCATTCATCTATGATTTCCTCTGAGTCGAGTCTATCCTCTTTACCATCCTCTGACTTATATGGAGACATTAATAATGTAAGTAGAGCCTGCGGATTTTCTCTACTTTTGCCATTATTCTCGATCATTTTTCTTATTAACTTCCGAGTTTCCTTCTCTAAATTCCACCTCATTTTATTTTTCTTGGTAGGCAAAAACCTGCATCCACTTCAATATTTAGAAATGAAGGAATCCGGAAATTCATCTACTTCTATTAAAGTTAGATGTTCAAGAGAAGGCAACAAAAACATCACAATTTACAAGATAAAAACCTGAATCCAGGGATGTATACACTTCGTAGTGCCTGCAAAAAAAGATTGGCTTGCTGTTCTTGTAATTCAAAAATACGTTTCCCTTCCTCAAAACTGCTACCAAAAGCAGTTCGGGATATGATGTCTGCAGAGAGCTCATGAAGATATTTATGCACATTCACCTCGAATTCACTTCTCTCGCTTGTTTCTTGCTCCCATCTGTGCATCATCTTTTTCGTACTAGCCACTATTTCTGGGATCCAACCCTGTGAAAATCAATGAGTCTTTTTGGTAACAGCTTAGTAATTTATGTTAGCTTCTGTTCTGCTGTTAATTAATGATTTTGATGGTCATGCAAACCTGTATATTTTGAGACGACAACCTTCGTCTATATATTGGAAGAATTTGATGTTTATTTAACTCAAGGAAGTGCGTGTAGTCATTTAACCTCACAATCTTCCATAAAATAATATTATACGTAAATCGAAATTTATACTTTGTTTTCAATCACACATTTTTCAAAAAAAAAAAAATCCAAAAATTATAATTGCAAATAATGGGGGGTCAAACGGGGGCTAAGATGATGTCAAAGCCATTGAGTCAATGGATTCAACTTATTTATAAAAAATTGTTACAAGTTGTTATATATATAAATTACGTGACATGCACGTAGCATCGATTATATTAATTGGACTGGATTGATTAAACCAAACAAGTTCTTCTTGGGCTTGAGCCCTATCCATTAATGCCCCAATTCCTTATATATTTTTATATCGATACCCATCTTATGAAATATCATGTACATTTTAAACCCTAGTCAAATTTCAACTCATCCATCTCTATCTGCACTCGTTTTATCCCGTTCTGCAGTTGACTTAGACGAACGACCATCAATTTTTTTTCTGAAATGGTGATCTGCAGCCTAACGGTGTGTTTCAGCAGGCATGTGATGTCTAGTTGGACCGGCCAATGATTTTGTTGATCAATCGATCAAACAGATATAAGATTAACACAAGTCACCCACCTATTTATAAAAATTGTACACAAAATAAAAAACAAAGAAAAAAAAAAGAATTCAATGGCATATTAGAAATTTATTGAAGTGTAAGAATATTTCTAAAAGAAAAGGCAAATACGTAGGTTACCTACCTTAACTCTTTCCATGTTAAAGGCCTGGCTAGTGATCTTTCTATGGACGGCCCATTTATCACCATCCAGCCCAACAAGCCCATCACCGAAAAGAATCTTAGAAGAAGGATTGAACTGAGTCCTCCCAATTCCCAAAATGCCCATTAGAATTGATCAAAATCTCTTTGATCAGATCCGGATCCGCTATAGCCAATCTGGGCTTGGCCCCGAACCAGTACAGAAAAGTCTTCCCATAGAGCGTTGACCAGTTGTAATAATGAGGGATCACCCTGTGAACTATATCGTGTGTGATTTGAGAGATAGGGCTCGACTCTGCTCTGGCAACCATATGCCGTCGGATACCAGCCGTGTTGCCCAAGATCGGACGGTAGGTAGGGCCATAAATCCCTTGCTTTCTGAAGTGGTTTTGGATTTTGAAAGGGATCCATATAATTTTGTGAATGAGATTAGTGAGAAAAATAAAGATTGGAAAGGAGATAAGAGTAAGGAGGAGATGTTGCATATTCAATGTTGGAGCAGCGTGCAAGTTTGATTCATAGTGACAGCGATGTAAGCATCTGTGTGTGAATGAATAATATCTCTCATTTGTTGTGTGGGGCGTGGGGGGTGAGGGAGTAGGTGGGGGTGATAATCATAGATCCATACGCCTCTTTGTTTCGGATTAAAATCAGATTTTAATCTAAATCAAAGTGATACAATCAATATTAACAATATTTTTCATGAATCTCACAACTTTTCAATCATACATTTCAAAATTTTTTATCACAATCTATTAAAAATTTAATTTTAACACCCAAGTAGTATATTGCTTTGCCAATCTTGCCAAACGTGTGTCCTAACCTATTTGACAAGATTTGACGCCGTCGTTTAATTCCAAAATTACTTGTCATGTCAACATTTTGCAAAATGAAGTGTAAACAAAGTTGTAAAAATAACAAGCTCCTAATCCGAACACGATAATTCTACTTGTACAACTGAATTGACAACGTCTTATATGTGTGCGGGGTCCGTGTGTTTAAAAAATTCAACAACAAAAAAAAAAAGTGGACCCCCCATGTGAGTGGTTTGTCAACTGAGGTTGTCAACCTCGATTGTACAACTAGCATGATCCATTTGAACTAGCAATTATGCTCACCCTTGTTGACATATACTCACAAAAAAGTGAGACCATGTGAATAAAAAAAAAAGCCAAAAAAATCCTCTCCCCTCAATCTCCCCATTGTGAGGGGTCTGTCAAGAAAGTATAGCAGGAATGTTTTAGCACGTTAATAAAATATTACAAAAATTAAGCAAATACTTCACTTGACTCAGTCCAATATTGTAAAATCAAATAAAAATTTTTAATTGCTATCTTTTACTTTTAGTTGACAAAACATGTTCGATGAATAAAAAATAAACACAATCAACTGAAATAATATATAATATTAATTGTTATTTGGTAGCTAAAAAATTAATTTCTCATTTATTTAACTTAGGGTAATTCTGCAACATATAAAATTGTTAAGATTCATACACAATAAATAACCATAGGAACTTTAGAAGTCAAAAGATAAGAATCATTATTTATAACTAATAAAAATATATATTTTGTTGAAAAAATAAAAATAAAACAATTATTATACGATGTAGAGAGAGAGGATTTGACTTAACGATAATTTTTGGAGGGATATATACGAGGTTTAAACGGGGATTGAGGTCATCCCGCCATGTCCTGTTTAAGAGGGAACATGGAGAGAATGGGGTTCTCACCCGAATCCCTTCCCTTGCCATTTCTACCGATTTGGCCAAGTTTTAACCCTTTTTCAAAATCAATTATGATTTTTGAAACATAAATCATACTGTTTAGAATGATTTGAGATTTTCTCAAACATAAACCTAAAATTTGCCTGATTTTAAACTACGATTTCACCGTGCATTTTTCATGTTCATTATATCGTCATTAGTTTATCGATTATAGAATATTTTTATACTATATCGAAAATATCATAGAAATCACGGCTTTTGACATTGAAAATCGTTGGTATTGTGAAACTCTCGGGTTAAATGTTCGCGGCATGAAGACTAAAGATGAATATGATTCCAACTCTATACAATGTGTGCAAATTGACGATTTTGAAAAAGATGGTTTCAATTTTGGAACGGACTTATCTTACATTAATTTGGTTACGTCATGCTCGGATTAACATGAGAGGGTGCATTAAATTGGTGGGGCTGGTTACTACGTGGATAAACAGTTGCACATACGAACCAGATTTGACTGCTCTCCCATCTACTCACCGGCATTATCGTCTGTCCCTGTACTTTAACAATTATTAGTCCTATGGGCCCCAGACCGGCCTGGATCTTTACTATTTTACCCACGACATAATCCGAATCTAGTTTCTTCAAGCTTTCACACAAATTATGTTCATGCTTAGCCCAGTTAAATTCTAAGGACTAATCTATGTTTACGTGGGTGTGTACATAACGCGAGGGAAATAATACATAAATAAGGAATTTAAGTATCACTATTTTAAAATTAAGGTTTGAAGTTTTAAATTTCAAAAATCAGGTTTTCATTAAAATTTATTTATAATTTAATTATGAAATAATAATTATTAAATTAATTTATTATTAATATTTAATTCTACTATAAAATAATTAATCCACCCCCACCTCCACCACCCCCACAACTCCAGAGATATTCCGGCGACCTTTCCGGTCACCACTCTTCTCCGGNTAAATATATAAATGTCACAGATCTATACAATTTGGTCACAATTCAAAAATTTTAAGGTCACAATTAAAATTTTTTATATGTCACAGTTCGTTCATCAAACACAAATCACAAAATTTATAAATCACAGTTTATTTTACGGTCACAAAATATCAAATTATAGGTTACAGATTACTTTTATTGGTTACAAATTAATAAATTTGTAGGTCACACAATATTTATTGGTCACAATTTATTCTTTCTTGGTCACATAGTCACAATTCAACAAATCATTTGTGACAATCACCAATACCACCACCACAGAAACACACCGCCGCCGCCAACATCAACACCGCAGAAACCACCACCACCACCCCCCAATGAAAATGACCTCACCACCACCATCACCACCCCAACAACCTCCAAACCCTCGCACACCCACCACTAATTTCAACCTCCTCCATTCCTTCGCGCGGCGCTACCACCATCAACACCACTGTCATTCACCGACACTCACACATCCACCAACACCACTCGACACACCTCCACAGCATCAATGAAAAAGTAAAAAAAAAAAGGAGGAAGAACAGATTTGAACCAAGACCGGGTCTACACAAAGCCGCCGTAGTGGTGGAACGCAAAAATGAAACGGACGCCGTCTCGACACTGTGAATCGGAGATAAATTCGGGCAGAAAAGAGTGAGGAGAGTAGAGGAGACGGCAACGACATCTTCTGAGCACAGAGACAGAGAGGGGAAAAGAGGAGACGGCGGGGGAGGAGAGAAGAATTAGGAGACGGCAGGGGGGTGGGGGGGAGGAGAGGGGACGACGGAGAAGGACAAAATTAGGTTTTTTATTTTGAGATGAAATTATTAATTGGAATTTATAATTATTATTTAATTAGATACAAAAACCTGAGTTTTGAAAAGTCAAATTAGGAATCTGATTTATGCAAATGGTAGTTTAAATACCGTCCTGTGTGTAATTTCCTCTAATGTGAGTGGGGCGAGACCCACGCTATAGTATCGTGGGCTCCCACCACATTCACATTATGTCAACCCCTATGTACACATAGCATGACTCAAATAATAATTCATTTTTTTCTTCTTTTATGAAGCACACATTCTTTCAATAAAATAATATTACACATAAATTCAAAAAAATTTCTTATTTTTTAACTATACATTCTTCAAAAAATATTATTCCACAATCAATGTTGTTCAAATAATGAAACTCAGACAAGGGTTATAATACACTATAGAAAATGTGTACCACAGTGAACAAATAAAAGTCTTCACACAAAAGAAAATATGTAAAATTCCTAAGTACAGGGATTCTTCACAGAATTGTAGACATTTTTTTTTTTTCATCTGTCAATCAATATATGCCATGTGGAACCTTCTAAAGTTATTTGAAAAGGGTTGTGCTATATGTACACCCAATTCATTATCTAATGGATTACATCCCCCTCACATGAAGGGGGGCCTACGAATATTTTATTGTATGTGGAGCCCCCTCCATATGAGGAGGGGTGTAATCCATTAGATAATAGATTGTACATATTTAGACTAATCCATGTGACAATTCCCTTGTACATGTAGTGTTACTCAAAAAAAAAAAAAATTACCCCAATGTTTGGTTGTGGTTAAAAATTAAATTTTTAATTAATGTGACTGATTTTAATAAAAATTGGGCCTAAAATTTAAGTGCTTGTGCGAGGGTGATTTTTGACATGCAGTTATTATGTAAGTAATTTTTTTGAAAAATATGCCGTTCAAAAGTACAAAATTTATGGAAATTCTTTTTAAAAAATGTGAAGTATTTTAAAATAAAATCAATTTCAAAGTAGCACTAATAAAATAAATTTAATGGATTTACAAATAATGAAACATCATAAGGTCATGGCCAAGCATAATACTCATTTTTTACCCAAACGGCAGAAAGAATTGCATTGATTACGACAAAAATATGACCAATTTCAACGGCAGCTGACGAATTTATATCTTCTTACTTCAAACATTACACAGATTCCCTCTTTCAAGTTATAGTAACCTAAAACTTAAAATGAGCCAAAAATTATGCATTGAATTCCCTGCTAAAAAAAAAAAAAGCTCCGTCATATCAAAGAAGGCTTCCTATCCGAGGGATCATCCCAAGTATCTCTAGCAGAGTTCACCCCGCTAAATGTAGTAGTCGACATATCAAGTCCACCGCCAATCGATGTTAGGAAGGCTGAATACCCAGCAGGGGCGGCGTCACCGCTGCCCATTCCTAGACCAAGAAAATCAAGAGTGGTCGGATTGTTGTCGAAGAGCGTCGACTGCCCCAGCATCAGGTCATTCAATCCAGGAGTACTACTAGAGGGGAGCCCAAGACCAAGCCCCGATGCCAATGAATTGTTTTCGAGCTTCACTTGATTGTTCCAAAGCGATGGTCGCCCGGTGGTACT